TGTTTGCTCTCCCACCTATTATTTTGACCTAATTTTGACGTTTTATTTTTACTTTCTCACCTATAACTTTTGAAGTAATTTTGAGGCTATGTTTACTGACTGAAATATGAACTAAATTTGAGGTTATGTTTGTCCTCTATTTATATTTACGAACTAGAAAGGAATTAAATTTAATTTTACCGAAAAAATGTCAAAAAATGACTCTGTCCCCATACTGAACTTCTACATATCGTCACCTATTGGGCTAAAATTCAGTATACATTTTTATGTTCAATTGTAGATTTGGGGAAAATTTTAGCGAACCTGATTGGGGGTCATATTTACGAACTAGAAAGGAATCAAATTTAATTTTTTCGAAAAAATGTCAAAAAATGACCTTGTCCCCATACTGAACTTTTACATATCGTCACCTATTGGGCTAAAATTCGGTACACATTTACATTTCCAATTGTAGATTTGGGGAAAATTTTAGCAAATGTGATTAGGGGTCATATTTACAAACTTTCTTGATTCGCAATCATATTTGTTCCCTATATCTCTTTGTATAAAAACGAGTTTAGTTTTGTTGTACGGATCCCTCGATTTTAGTGCGAGTGTAACTCGCACTTGTACGATTTTGTTTGACCTGTATGTGGGAATTGAGGGGATTTTGAGGTTATGTTTGTCCTGTGACCTTTGAGTGGGGATATAGGGGAGAGGAGACCTTTGACCTATGAGAGGGGGAGGAGGGGGTATGGAATCTTGAAACAGCGGCGACAGCGATATATTTTTGTAAATTTATTTTTATAAATTTAAAATAATGTTTTCTTAATATGAATGCATCATAATAAATTACATACAATACATATATGAGGCATTTTACGTAAAATGTCCTAAGTTGAAATTTCAACTTCTTGAAAATAATTGAAACTCAGGGGATTTGTTGTTCTATCAAGCAGAAATGTGCCCCAAAAAATATTTTTGATTTCTTCGAAAATTTGGAGGGGTAGAGGGGGGTCAATTTGAACAATTTTGCTAACACCGGCTACTTTGTGAATTTTTTCTGAACATACTTGTAATGGGAAAAATTTTTTAGAATATGTTTCTGAAAGGTTTTTGCGCTTCGTCTCACGCCGGTTGCCACGCGGCTCAGTGCAACCGCGACGCAGCGCGCCGCAATTTATTCTTTGAAATTTAATAACTCAAAAACAAAAAAAGGGCATTCTAAAAATTTACATGACGATAGGAAAAAACCTCAGCTTTCGTTTGCAATCATTTATTTTCAAAAAAACGGACCGATTTTTGGGAAATTGAAAATTAAATATTAATTATCAAAAATTAGGGTAAATTTTTAAAATATTAAAAAATACAATACACCATTAGAAAGAGGACGAAAAAACCTTTCAGAAACATATTCTAAAAAAATTTTCCCATTACAAGTATGTTTAGAAAAAATTCACAAAGTAGCCGGTGTTGGAAAAATTGGTCAAATTGACCCCCCTTTACCCCCTCCAATTTTTCGAAAAAATCAAAAATATTTTTTGGGTCACATTTCTACTTAATAGCACAACAAATTCCTCGAGTTTCAATTTTTTTCAAGAAGTTGAAATTTCAACTTAGGACATTTCACGTAAAATGCCTCATATGACAAAATACACATCGATTTTGACGTAATGTAACAATCGTTATGGACCTTTTTTGACCTACATGTCAAAAATTAGATTAAACTTTGATATATATTTTGACCCATTTTAACCTGTAGGTTAAAAAGACGTTAAATTTTACATAGATTTTGACGTATCATAGATACGTTTAATGTCCTTTATTGTCCCTTTTTAACTTGTAGTTAAAAAAAGGTCAAATTACACAAAGATTTTGACGTAACTATATGCAGACTTAATGTTGAGGTAAAGTTTGCCATCTGACCTAACAATGTAAGGTAATTTTAAAATTATGTTTGCTCTCCTACCTATCATTTTGACCTAATTTTGACGTTATATTTTTACTCTCTCAATTATAACTTTTGAACTAATTTTGAGGTTATGTTTACTGTCTGACATATGTACTAATTTTAAGGTTATGTTTGTTCTCTATCTTTTGAACTAATATTGAGGATATGTTTGCTTTCTAACCTATCATTCTGACCTAATTTTTAGGATATTTGCTTTCTGACCTGTCACTTTGAGAAAATTTTAAGGTTATGTTTGCTCTCCTACTTATCATTTTTACGTAATTTTGACGTTTAATTTTTCCTCTCTTTTGAACTAATTTTGAGAGTATGTTTAGTCTGACATATGATCTAATATTGACGTTATGTTTACCGTCTGACATATTGATAATATGTTATCCTAATATCACTCCGGTCCGTCTCTGCTTTATACAATCGAATAATGTTTGATGACAGTCACTATAGTTTTACACTAATCCGGCAGGGCGGCGCTGCAGTGCTTCTGCCATACAATCATATGACTTTTGCCGGCAAACTCAATATAGAATGTAAATATTTACGATATTTACTAAATATCGAAATATACGGTGATATTAATTATTATTGAATGAAACGTTTAATCGTGAGTCTTGTACTTTTAATTTGAAAAGTGATTTTGTGATGGAATTATCAGCAGGATACAGGGGTCACAGATGTATTGTTTCAAACTGTACTTCTGGTTACGACTCTTGTAAGGAAAAAGTTAGTCTGTTTTCGCCTCCAAATAATGAGGAAATCCGTAAAAAATGGGAGAAATCTATTCCACGGTCTAATTTCGTTTTAAAATATGGCTTAGTGGTTTGTGCCAAACATTTTATGCCGGAAGAGATAATTTGGAAAAATGAAGTTAAAGACGCCGAGGGAAATGTCATGTCATCGGTTTGTTCACTTTTTATTTATTCTTGAATATTTAATTAATCAATAAGTAATATCATTATAATTATCGAAAACATAATTGATTAGGGGAGGGTAGGCTACATTGAACCGGGTATTTTATAAAGTCCAAGAACTAATAAAATTTTACTAATTTCGATCAGGTTTTTGTATCAAAATTAAGCTGAAGTACTCCTTTAGTTAATACACACGTTACAAACACAAATTATTATGATTAAATAATTAAATTTAATTTTTTTCTAACAAGTCACACTTTTCTTATTTTGAAGGATGTGTGTCTACATTGAACCACCTCTAATAAAACACTACAATTTACTTCAAAAATAATATTTCCACTTACACATTGTAAAAAATCTTATTTTCCACTCAAAAAAATAGAAAATTGTTATTTAATTGTTATTACTTGTTAATATAGGAGATTAATGTATTTTAATGTCAGGTTAGGTAGGTAAAGTGACAGTTTGAGTTTATCTCGTTCACAATTGTGATGAAAGCATGTCTTCCAGTATTTTTCTTACTAATTAGTAGAGCAGACAATTTTACAACTCTTAAAATTGAAAATTCTTTGCTTTTTCGGGTGGTTCAATGATGCCGCACTCACTGTATTCACATGACATTCACAACAAAAATTGTTTATAATAAATTTGTGTAAGATTTAAAGTTCTTTATCACATCGGAATATTGAAGTTGACACCCTAAGCGAAATAAATCGCAAGTTTACTAATTTTTAAAACTTCCTATTTCAATAAAAAAACGTCATTATAATTCCACCAAATTTTTTGTTTTGTACGTGAAAAACAGTTTTTTTAGTTTTTCTTTGTAAATAATAAACCTACGTGCCCGAAATTTTTGGACATAGTTTGTTTCAGTAAAACTAACTTATATATTAAATATGAAAAAATTTCACTCAGTCATTTCTCAGAAAATTGAAGTGGTTCACTGTTGACGCTGGTTCAATGTAGCCTACTCTCCCCTAAAGAGATATATTATAATTTTTAATTATACACAATACATGAGAATATAATAAAAATTTAATATTTGTTAGTATTCTAGTAATATTCACAAGTTTACTTTTTTACTCTATACATCTGAAAGAGTGTGATGTTGGATAATTTAAAATTCTATAGATTTTTCATTTATTTAGAGTAAAATTTTATTATTTCATTTAAAAATTTAATTTAATTTAATTTTACGAATGAACACTTTTTTGCTTCCTCGTAAGAAAATAAATTGTAATCAAAGTTTAAGATTTCATTACTAATTTCTTAAATATACAATAAATTAGGAATGTGCAAGTCGAAATCGATTTTAATTGAAAATCGAATAATGCTTCTCGAATAATCGATTAATATCATTCGAATCTTTAATTCCATGTACTGCCAGTATTCGATTCCGTTCCCAAATAGCACGGAATATTCCATCCATATTCCTGGAATATTCCACAGAAATATTAGGAACATTGCCGAGAAATATTCCATCCACATTCCAGGAATATAAAAATGTCCTCTAACTGGAATATTTCAATGGAATATTGTAGGAATATTTAATAGGAATATTCGAAAATAATGAATACCAAATATATTAGGAATGTTCCCGTGGAATATACCAAAAATATATCTGCGGAACACTCCTTGTATATTCCTAGGAATATTCCCTGAATATTCCAGTTAATTTTCTTGAAAAAATTCCTAGGAACATTCCAGTAATATTCCAGTTAATTTTCTTGAAAAATTCCAGGAAATATTTTTGCAATATTCTATTGTAAATTTCTGTAATATTCAGCTAGGATAATTTTGTAATAATAAAAATCAAATTTTTAAAAAATTATCTGCCTAGGATAAACTTGTAATTTTATTGTTGAATTCGTATTATAAAAATTTTGGATTTTAGTTTTCAATAAATTTATTACTATAGTTTTATATTTTTATTAATTAAATAAGTAAATATGGTAATGATTAAATAATAATTTTAATAAGATTACTGGTTACAAAAAATTTCAATTCTTGTAATTACATACTGTTCTTATTTTAATGGAAATGAAAAAGCTTTACTTTTTTAAATTTAAATTTATTATATTTATTAAAGTCATTTTTGTTAACAAAACAAACAATCAAACGAATTAAACAAATATTTAAATTTTTCAATTCTCATCATCAGCATCGTTCTCTAAGGGGTCCTGAGTTTCGTCATCACTGATTGAATTGTTCAAATCTTCTTCATTCTTATTATTTTCCTTATTACTGATGTGCAAACGAAAATAATTTACATTTTTTACATTTGAATATAATTATTGTTATTAAATTAAATGATGAAAGTATTTAGAATTTAATCAAAATTTAAACTGATGCTTCAAACTATAAACTGACATGAAATTATGTTTAAATATTAAATTAACTTTTGAAAAAATAATAACTTGTAACTGGCGCTAATGCATGTAAAAGTGTATTACATGGGGGGAGGGGGGGTCAAAAATTTCAAAAATTAGCGTTACGTAATTTGTGAACGCTCCCTTATAACGTTTTTATACTGCATATTTTTTATGCTAAATTGGAATATATTAAATTATAATATAGAAGATGTAAGAATTTATTGTTGATCAGAGTCAAATTATTGTCAAAGATGTTTATTAATTGTCAAAGAACTGATCAATATAATCATTATTTTCAAATCGAGCTTTCGCCTCTACGAAGTAGGGCCTTTTCAAGAATAAATTACACTGTTAATAACACGTGTTGACATTCTTAGTATTCTCCTAAAATTTGGAGTAATACATATATGAAAACATTAAAACAAAAAATAATACAAAATAATAAAACAACATACGAAAATTACAAATACATCATGAACATATAAAAAGAAACATACAAATGTCTCTCCATAAAAACAAGTGCCAGAATTTTCTCATGTCAAAACAAAATATATAAAATAATTTAAATTATATTAAATTATATTAAATTATGTTTAAAAATTATTATTTATACTAACTCTCCTCTATCCACCCTCTTTTTGGCTCCAGCGAACCATTTTGAAACCAGTTCTGAAATTTCATTATCCTTTGCCTGCGGTTTATTTATTCGAACGGCAGCTAAAGGAAATTTATCAATTCAACTACTATTTTCTATTTTCAAATATATAGAATTACGTTTATAAAACATTATAATTCATTGCTACAATTAATTATTATTTTTAATTTATCATTATACATTAATTGTATAAACAGATAAAAAATTATTTTTAATTATTTACCCATCATTAATTTAGCAAAATTTGTATTTTGCAAAGCTAATTTTGGCTTCTTTCTTCCGGTCCAACTATAATTCATAGCTAATGAATTGCTGACAAATTTCACACATATATTTGTTACTATGTTTGAAAGATCTCTACCCCCAATTTTTCCACTTGCCGCAGCCTATATTAATTATTTTAATTATTAAGTTTAATAAGAAACAATAATTAATTATTGTGCTAATATTTTAAAAACATCAATTATATTGAAATAAAAATATAATATAGATGAATTTACAAAGAATGATTTTAATCATACTTGTTTTTATAAAATACGTACAACTTGCTTGAGAAAACTATTACTCATTAATTTCTCCATAAATGCATCAAACTGTTCTTTGGTCGAAAGAGGTAATTCTGGGCATTTATCTGATTCAAAGAAGTTATCAGTTTGCTTTGTATTTGAATTTATAGATAAATCTTCCAAGTGTTTTACAATCATTTGCATTGTAATTAAAATTTCGTTTGTTTTGCGTAACATTAATTGTTCAAAACCTAACCCTGTATTAATATAAATTAAATTAAATGAAAAATATTGTTAGTGAAAACAGGGCTGTCAGAAATTTTATTTAATTTTTCTTGATTTCTAGAGTAAACTGCTAAAATTATTCAAATTACCTTTTTTAAATAAATATGAACCTGTTATTAAAAATTTTTCATAGAAATTGATTTGAAAAATTTATAATTAAAATCTTTTTTTATAAATAATTTTTAAAAATGTTACCAAGAATTAAGTTATTTAAAGTAAATTTCTTTTATCTATTTTATAAATTTAATATATTTTTTAGTACTTTTGATAAAATTTTCCCAATTTTTCCCTCAATTCCTAGACCTGCGAAAAGTTATATTACAGCTGTGCTTTAAAATACAATAATTCACCTGACGACTTGTCACGCACAGCTATATTTGACAAAGATTTCTCAACATTCGGTTTAATACATTTTTGGTGATTAATTCCTTTACCTCCTGTGGAATTTAAAAAATGGAAATATAAAATTTATTAACCTTCGTGTTTCAATGAATTTTAAAATTTTAGGTAAGTAAGTCATTATTTATTAAAAAAATTATTAATGTTAAAAAGCTAAGGAATCTTATTTCAATAATTTTATGTTGTTATGTCATAACTCAGATAGTATATAATTTGTTAATTTATAAATATTTTAGTTTTTCTTTAATATTTTGTAATTATTTTTTATATCCTTTTGAAAATATAATTCATTTATATTTATACCTTTTTTCTTTTTATCAAGGTCAGGAGTATTCTGTTCTTTTGAATTTCCTGGAGCTGAATCTTATTCATTAATAAAAATAGCATTATTTACTTTACATTCTATTTATATTTAATATTTCATTTAAATAATTTATCGCAGCAATTTACCTAACAGTACCACTTCATCGCGTTTATTTAAAGCATGCATTTCAGAATCGGTTTCATCTTCGTCATGTTTCTTTCGCTTTTTTTCTGGTTCATAATCTAAGAAGAAATCTTTATGAAAAACTCAACTCAATATAAAATAAAATTTTGCTAATGATTTTTTAAATATTTTCTTGAATCTTAAAAAATTATTAAATAATATTTAGTCACCTCGGTTTTGATTTAATACAGTTTCGTCTTTTTTTCCAGTTTAAAATTTCGCAATGGCACTGAATTGAATGCGATGTTAGAAACGATAGTTGGCTTGTTCTTAATTGGCACCTTCAAAAAATAATTTTTATGCAAATACAATATTTAACAAGTTAAAGAGATTTTTTTATCATTAGAATAATTATTTAAAATATTTTCTAAATATTTATTTTATTTCAAAAATTATTTTATACTTTATTTTTTATTTATTATTTAATTAAAATGCAAATATATATTTTAAAACTATTAGGAAAAAATTATTTAAAAAATTCTTAGAAAATGAAGATTCATTGTACAAGTACCTCAGAACAAGACGAAACTTTTTTGCAATTATCAACTAATTCTAACGGTGCTTTAAATTTAGACTCTGGCATACAAGGAAATTTGCTTCCAGCACCTGCCTTTTTTTCTTTCACATTTGAAGAATTGGTGTCATTATTACTTTTCGATGTAAAAGTTTGAGATGCTCTCATCTTTCTAGTTTTCTTCAAGAAGTCTTGATCGTAATCGCTAGCTTGACTATCTATGTCTGAATGTAAAAGTGCTTCCAGTAGCTTGTCTTTTCCTTTTTTATAGTCATCTATATTGAAAATTAATATTTAATAAATAATAATTTATTATTATTTATTTAGTTTTTTATTTATTTATTTTATTTTTTTATTTGTGTCAACAACAAAAATACATCTTTCAATATATATTAAAATAAATAATAATAATAAAAATAAATATGACTTTATTCTAAAGTCTTAAAAACTTATTTTGAAATAGATAATTTTATTTATATGTATATATATATATTTTATTTTTACATTTTATATAATAAATATACCTGTTTGATACTTTATTTCTTTTACAAGACTACTATTCCATTGTTCTTCCATTTCGTTGAGCTTGAACACGGCTGTATTGTATTTAATTTTATCTTCTACAGAAAGTAAAAAGCAAAAAACTTGTTTGTCTTCATTTTCTACGATCCATTTGGAGGCTACTAATCGTGGTTTCTCCTCCCCATCTAATCATATCACACTGTAATTCGGAATCGATATCGACATAGCTAACAAATTCTTAGTAAATAAAATACAATTTGATCGAAAAAATTTTCTCAGATGTCAACAAATGGATGATAAATTATGTGTGAATCTGTCATTCACTTCTATTTAACAATTGAATGATGATTGTTAAAAACTGAACTGAGTAACATTAGCAACGAATCTTTTTTCTTTCAAAAACAAATGTCAATCTTATTTTTCAATATTCTATAGAATAAATATTTTTAAAGCTTTAAATATTGAACTATTGCTATAAATAAAAAATTTGTACTTTGATTTTTTAATATTTTCAAAGATTATTTATTATAATTTATAACAGAACACTAATATCTGTATTTAATGTTTGTTGGATTTCACTCGTAGAATATTTTTAAAAATTATAATTATAAATAATGTAAGTAAAACTGTAATTAATTAATTTAATTTATTTTATTTTTATTTTTTATTTAATTTATTTAATATTTATTTATTTTAAACGTAGTTTAAAATTATTTTTCATATAAATAAGTAAAATTAATATTTGTTTCCTTAAAATTTATTTAAAATATTTTTTAATTTATATACTGATATTTATTAGTTTGAATTAATTACTTACATTGTGAAACAATAAATACAATGATATTTTACGTACCTATTTAATAACTAAACTTTTTTTATCTTCGGTATTATTATTATTATTATTATTATTATTTTTTTTTGCTTAGGAAATTTTGGGAAATCTGCCTACAGATACCTTGGACTCCGCACTCCAAGGTTATGTGGGGTTGGTGTGATAAAACAAAAGGAAATAAAAAAAATTGAAAAATAAATATATAAAATAGTAAATTTAATAAACTGGCGACCTACTGCCAGCCCGACCCACTAAAACCCGTAACCCTTCTTCTGGAGCCCTTTACCCTCCCTCGGAACTGTCGTAAGACTTTAGCCTTCGAGGGTGGCGCTCCAACTCTGTCGCTAATGCGACCTTCTGCTTTTTTCTGCGGTTATCCTGCGTTAATAGTTAAAAATTTAAAACTATTTCAATATAAAGCGGAATTAACAGCACAACAATAATTAAAAATAACAAATGTGTAATTAAGTGTAAAAAGTCAGAAGATAAAATTATAAACGAATATATAAAAAAAGGAAAAAATAAACGCGTATAAAAAATTGAAAACATAAAACTGTACAAAGATGAAAAAAAAAAAAAAAAAAAAAAAAACCATAAACAATAAAAAAATGTATAAGGACAAATAAATCACAAAATAAATTAATAAAAAACAAACGAATAAATTAAAAGCTGTTTAAATTACGCTTTTTGGCGGCCGTCGAGATCCTTCATCGACATAACCGAGATTATGAAGTTCTCGACTTGCCGCCAATTCTCCTCTGACTGGGTCATCAGCGATACCATGTTCTCCGGTGTAACTTGACTGTTTACACCTTCGAACATGGCCTGCCTCTCCAAGTCCCATTTCTTGCATGAGAAGAGGGTGTGCTCCGCGTTGTCCTCACGGAACTGGCAATATGCACACACCTCGTCCTCGCGTAATTTAAAGCGGCACAGGTACGAGTTAAAACACCCGTGACCTGTGAGCGCCTGAGTCAGATAATAGGAGACTTCTCCATGCTTTCGGTTTATTCAGGTGGTGAGTGTTGGAATCAGACGATAGGTCCATCTGCCCTTTTCCTCCCCATCCCATCTGTCCTGCCATGTCTCGATAAGTCTGTTTCTCGCGTATTTGCGGATGCGGTCCTTGCTAGGTCTTTCTTCCTCTGGGTACTCGGGATTATTTCTTCTTTTAAAAAGAAGAAATACTTCCTCCCTTTCCCTTGCCATAAGATCTGCCGGCGGGACACTTGCAAGGACTTGCACAGCACTCGTCGAGACCGTCTTATACGCAGAGACGATACGGGTAGTAACACATCTCTGCGCAGACAGCATATTATCGCAAATGGTTTTGCTTCTTGTTTTAAGTGAGGGAGCCCACGCTGCTGCTGCGTAAAACAGCTTAGCGTGGGCAACACTAACCACCAGTCTCCTTTTCCTTTCACGTGGTCCGCGAACGTTTGGCATAAGTCGTGCCAAGTCTGACGCACACTTTATCGCCTTATTCAAGGCCGTCGCTATATGGTAATGGAAGTTTAACCTTCCATCGAGCTCCACTCCTAAATACTTAATATGATTACTCCACTTGACCTCGAATTCGTCTATCACGATTCGTGGGAAACTATAACCACGTCTGTCTGTGACGAGCAGAGCTTCGGTTTTTTCCAAGGCCATTTGAAGACCTCTGGCATCCAACCAGCTTTTAACTCGCCGCAGACATTCGTTCACCAATGTCCCAAGGGCTTCCTCGCTTTCGGCTGAGCACACGACCAACGCATCGTCCGCAAAGCCGATGATGACCGCGCCTTCAGGTAGACCCATTCGCAGGAAGTTATCATAGGATACATTCCACACGAATGGTCCCACCCTCGAGCCTTGGGGGGCACCACTTTGCATCTCTTCCTTCAGAGTCCAGTTGTCCCCCTCATATATTACCCACCTGTCGCTAAGATAATCATTCATTATCCGCAACAATTAGGGCGGTATTCCCTTCTCCATCATCGACTGGATGAGATCTTTCCATCGTGCGGAGTTAAACGCGTTACGTATGTCAATAGCCACCAATGCACAGAAGCCCTTCTTCTTCTTTGGTCCCAATTTGTTTTTTCCCGCTTTGGCTATGTCCACAACTGCCTGAATGGCATCAACCGTGGACCTGCCTTTGCGGAAACCAAATTGGTAATCGGATAGACTATTCTCTCCGGTCAAATGGGTTTGCATTCTCTGCAGAACCATATCCTCTAGAAGTTTACCCATCGTATCTAACAGGCAAATAGGCCTGTACGACGAGACTTTATCCAGAGGTTTTTCGCCTTTTCTTAGGAGAACTAGCCTCTGGCGCTTCCAGTCGCGGAAGAACTCTCCTTTCTGAAGGCAAAGATTGAAACATCGGAGCAGAATCTGGGGTGAAGTGTCGATAACCAATTTTAGGATCTCGTTACTTATCCCATCGATTCCAGGCGCCTTGCCTGTTTTCAATCTTCTACCTGCATTTCTCAATTCTGTAAGAGTGAAGAGTTCCTCCTCACCGACTTCGCAGGTACTCCAGTCCTTCCTAACCCACGGTTCTGCAGGAGGAAATAGAGCTTTTATAATCCTTCTGACCCAATCTGGATTGTCCAGGCCGAAGGTCTTTTGCCTCGTTCCTAATTTCTTAGTAACGATTTTAAAAGCCAGACCCCATGGGTCCTTCTCGACTTCATCAATTAGGTCTTTCCAGCAACGGCGTTGTGACGCTCGAGTCTCTTTTTTCAGGCTTTTCTTGGCCTCCTTAAATACTTCCTTTAGCAAAGGATCTCCCTTAGAACGGGTATAATTCCTTCTAGCTTTGAAGCACGCTTTCCGCAAGGAGGCCAGCGCATCCGACCACCAGTGCACCGAGCTTTTACGTGAAGCGGTACACCTGCGACGCGGCATAGATGCATCGCAGGCAGCGGTGATGGTTTTCCTCACCGCTCGTACCTCTGCATCCAGGGTATTTGGCCTCTGCACCCAACCCAATTCCTCAATGAGGCAAGATTCTTCCAGGGATCGGACAAATTTCTCCTTATCGATATTTTTATATTCCAGGAGAGGCGTTTTCGACACGGTGCTTCCTGTCTTCCACCATTTCCTGTGTCTCCCACTGAGACTGAAAACTCGATGTACTGGTGGTCACTTGCGGTATACTCCTCAGAGACTCGCCATTCGTTTATGCGTCTGAATAGAGGAGATGATGCAATCGTAAGATCAATGATCGATCCAATTGCACCCCTCCGAAACGTCCATGTCCTTCCCCGGTTCACAATCGTTAAATTGCTCCTGGAGACCATTTCTCCGATCACTCTGCCTCTTTTATCGAGCCTCGACTCGCCCCACTCCGGCGACTTAGCATTAAAATCTCCGGTGACGAGTACATCCAACCTGGATCCTCTAAGGCTCGACTCGAGTTGCCGAATGTCAGCTTCAAAGTCCGTCAGTGCATCGTTTGGCGAGAAGTAGCAGCTGTACATACGTATGCCCGCAACCTCTACCCAAACGAATCCACTGCTCGTCTCCAGATACCTGGCAACCCGCAGCTCAGGATTGCACACTTGAACAGCGGCCCTACCTGATTTATCCTGGTACCAAGGAGCGAGGTCGTTTTTCCTGTGTTGCTCGCTGCAGAACAGGATGTCGATCCCTTTTTCCTTGACCGTCTGCATCAGGAGGGCCTGCGCCGTCCTGCAGGTGTGCAGGTTGACCTGCAGAAACTTTAAGGGTTTGCCTTTTTAAGCCTCTGCAGCAATTCCCTGTAAACCGGACAAGAGCTTTTCCCGGATATATGGACAATATCTGTCTTTCATAAATCTGTGCATGTTAAGCACTTAGGTTGTTCGACAGAACAGTTCTTTGCCATGTGACCCTCACCGCCGCATCTCCGACAGTTTTTAGTTCTGTCGGGGCCTTTGCATGATCGGGTCACGTGTCCATATGTAAGGCACTTTAGGCACCTCACAACTTCCAGATGCTCTCTGACTTGGACGTTTAGCCATCCTATTCTCACTTTGCCGATCTTGAGCAGAGTCTGACTATCAGCCTCTGCCAGGCGGACCAACGCAACTTTTGTGCCACTAAAACGTGGCAGAAGTCTGCACACTATGTCCGTGTCAGGCTTCCCCAATTTCTCCCTCAAAACTAAAACTACATCCTCCTCAGTCGTAGTTTCATCAAGGCCGTTCAATTCCAGACACCTCTTATCTACAAGAGCCGTAACCTCGACCCTACCATGTGAGGCCGAGGCCAGAGCCCCCGCAAACTTCAAGGTGTCACCGCCCTTTCTCACAACGAGGAGAACATCTTTATTGAGTGCCCTCCTGATCCTGAGAACCTCAATATTGGACTCTTCAGGCCTTACAGAGCGTTTCATTTCAGTCACGATCTCAGCGATAGCCTTTGGGTTTTTCGCTGAGATCCTTACTGCCTCTGTATTTCTCGGCTTTGAAGGATACTTTTGGAGCTCCTTCTCTTGTTTCTTTTTTAAGGCCTTCTTTTTGGCCTTTGCCTTTTTATCGATGACAGCGGCAAAGCCGTCGCCATCCACTGTGTCATCCTTTGAGCTAACTGAAGCGTAAGTCTCTTTGACTTCTTTCTCGGCTT